TAAATTCATCATTGCTGCTTTTTGGGAAACTTGCGAATAGGGATCATGGTGGGAAGACCACTGGATTGATTTAAGATGCCCAGACCACAGTCCTGATCCCAACTAGTTCGCTGTGTGTCCTGGCTCAAGTTTCTTTCCTCTCTGTGTTTGGATTTTTCTCGAAGGCCCTTCCAGCTCTAAAACCATATGATTCCATGACGTATGTACAAGTGAACTGCTAAAGCAAGATTCACTCCTTCATTTACAGCTAGGGTCCAATTGGTGCAAATAACAAATCTCTAGAAGTAGTTACATTATTTGAATTTGCACTACACATTTCCATTGGGCTAGAATAAGTTACGATATTTTACGTAATTATAATTTTGAACTGTACAAATTTAAATACAGGGCACCACATCAGGAAATTCATTATTTGCACTAATCAGGATATAGCTATGATGACACCTTCTTAGAGGTTCCACATTCTATGGATTCTTAACACCTGATACTGAGGGCATATAAAAATAGCTGATGTTTGTATAGCACTTAAATTTTTTCAAAGAGGTTTATACGCATTCTCTCATGAGAGTCTCACAAAAACCTCATGGGAAAAGTACTATATTTCATAAATGAGGAGACAAATTTTTAGGATTGATTAGCATATAGTTTTAGAACTTGAACTGCTCAGAACTCCTTCATTTTACAGATGAGGAAACAGAGGCTTAGACAGGCTAAACAATTTGCCTGTCACACAACTAGTAAGTGTTAGAGGCACAATTCAAACTTGATCTTCCTGACTCCAAGTCCAGCATTATCTCTATGGTCCCACATCAAATAAGGGTCAGAATCAGGATTTGAACTCAAGACTTCCTGACTCTAATTCCTGTATTCCATTCACTTGATCATGCTTGCCATAAATACCCTCTAGTCTGACCGATTGCTTAACTTTTCAATATAAGCTCTAGGTAGGTTTCAGTCCTATTTGGGAGAAACATCTTCATAGGGAGGATTAACTGGTCTATGTCAGACCCAGATGTCAAAGCTGGGATTAAAATTGCTGGAATCCTGCTCTGTGCTAATTCCCCTGGCAATGCTGCCCCAAGGCTCCTATCTTCCTCAGAGAGTTAATCTCTCGTGCTTTAACCCTTGACTTTCCATTACCTTGGGGAAACAAGGATGTGGCGGTCTGTTTTGAAATCCAAATAATTTGGCTTTTCATGCAATGAGAATTTATTAAATGTCTGCCACAAGAACTAGAAACTAAGAGGGTGTCCATCAATTGAGGAAAGACTAAACAAATTATGGTATATAAATATAATAAAATACTACTGTGCTGATGGAAGAGAATGATGGATTAGACAGTTTGAGAAACCTAGAAAGACATTATAAACTAATGCAGAGCACAGTGAGCAGAGCCAGGAGAGCAATTTATACTGTAACAACAACATTATAAACAGCAGCACAAAAAAGTCTAAAGCTCAGGACAATGCCTCCTCAATTCCCAGGTGAGCAGAGTCTAACTTTAACATAAAATTCAAAGTCAAAGAATATTCTGGAAAAATCAGCAAACAATAAAAAAATAAAAAAACAACTTGACCATAAAAAGCTACTATGATGGCAGGGAAGACCAAGACATAAACTCAGAAGACAGCAATGAGAAAATAATTACCAAAAAAGCCTCAAAGAAAAATGCTAATTGGACCCAAGCCAAACAAGAATTCCTAGGAGAGTTAAAGAAAGAGATAAGCTTGGTAGAGGAAAAAAAGAGAGTGATGCAAGAGACTTATGAAAAGAGAATTAGCTTGGTAAAAGAGGCAGAAAAATACTGAAAAAAATAACACCTTAAAAATCAGAATTGGCCTAGTGGTAAAAGAGGTACAAAAATTCACTGAAGAAGAGAACTCCCTAAAAAGGAGAACTGGTCAAATGCAAAAAGAAGTGCAAAAACTTACTAAAGAAAATAATTCCTTAGAAATTAGAATTGGGCAAGTAGAAGCTAATGACTCCTTGAGACATAAAGAAATAATAAAATAAGGTCAAAAGAATGAAAAAAAAAAGAAGAAAATGTGAAATATATAATTAGAAAAACAACTGACCTGTAAAATAGATTAAGTGAGATAATTTAAGAATTATTGATCTACCTGAAAGCCATATTCAAAAAAAGAGCCTAGACATCATACTTCAAGAAATCATAAAGAAAAACTGCTCTAATATCTTAGATCCAGAGGGTAAACTAGAAAAGGAAAGAATCTATTGTTTACCTCCTAAAGGAAATTCCCCAATGAAAACTCCCAGGAATATTATAATCAAATTTCAGAGCTCCCAGGTCAAGGAGAAAATGTTATAAATAGCCAGAAAGAAAAAACTCAAATACTGTAGAGCCACAGTCGGGATCACACAAGATTTAGCAGTTTCCATGTTAAAGGAGTAAAGGGCTTGAAATATGATATTCCAGAAGGCAAAGGAGTTAAGATTGCTCCCGAAAACAACCTACCCAGCAAAACTAAGTATAATCCTTCAGGGGGGAAAAATGGACATTCAATGAAATTGAAGACTTCCAGATGAAAAGACCAGAGCTGAACAGAAAATTTGACTTTCAGATACGAGACTCAAGAGAAGTATAAAAAGGTAAACAAGAAAGAGTAATCATAAGGGGCTCAACAAACTGTTTACATTCCTATTTGGGAAGATGATACATGCGACTCCTAAGAACTTATTATTAGGGCAGTGAGAAGGAATCCACATCGACAGAGAGCACAAATGTGAGTTGATTATGTTGGGATGACCTCTCCCTCAAAAAATGGAGGGATGAAAAAGAGGGATGCACCGGCAGAAAGGGGAACAGAGAGGCAGAATGGGGAAATTTTTCTCCCATAAAAGAGCTGTGCAAGGAAGAGTTTTTATAGTGCTGGGGTAGTGGGCAATGCTTGAATATCATTCTCACTGGAATTGGTTCAAAGAGGGAACAATATATACACACATTCAGCTGGATACAGAAATCTATCTTACTCAATAGGGAAATAGGAGGAGAAAGGGATAAGAGATATGGAAGGGGGATGATAAAAGAGAGGGAGGATTAAGGGAGGCAGTAGTCAGAAACAAAACAGATTTTTGAGGAGGGACAGGATAAAAAGAGAGAAGGATAAACAGAAGGAAACAGGATGGAGGGAAATACACAGTAATTGTAACTGTGAATGTGAGTGGGGTGAACTCACTTGTAAAATGGAAGCAGATAGTAGAATGGATTAGAAACCAGAATCCAACAGTGTGTTGTTTACAAAACATGCACTTTGAACAGAAAGACACACAGAGTTAAAATAAAGGGCTAAAGCACATTATATTGCTTCAGTTGAAGTAAAAAAAGGCAAGGGTGGCAATCATGACCTCAGACAAAGCAAAAAGATACCTAATTAAAAGAGATAATCAGGAAAACTACATTTTAGACAATGAAGCAATATGAAAAATTTTTACAGCACGTTCTTCTGATAAAGGCTTAATTTTTTCAAATACATAAGGAACTGAGTCAGATTTATAAAAATAAAAACCATTCCCCAATTGATAAATGGTCAAAGGATATGAACAGGCAGTTTTCAGAAGAAGAAATCAAAGCTATCTATAGTCATATGAAAAAATGCTCTAAATCACTATTGATTAGAGAAATGAAAATCAGAGAAATACAAACAACTCTGAGGGACCACCTCACATCTATTGGAAATGACAAAGGCTGGCAGGGAAGAGGGAAAATAGGTACACTAATAAACTGTTAGTGGAGTTCTCCTAACATTCTGGAGAACAATTTGGAACTATGCCTAAAGGACTATCAAAATGTGTATACCCTCTGATTCAGCAATACCACCACTAGGGCTGTACCCCAAAGAGATCATACAAATGGGAAAAGGATCTACATGTACAAAAATATTTATATCAGCTTTTTTGTGGTAGCAAAGAATTGGAAATTGAGGGGATGCTCATCAACTAGAGAATGGCTGAACAAGTTGTGCTATATGATTGTGATGGAATCCTACTGTGCTATAAGAATTGGAAAAAGTGAAGTGAGAAGAACCAGGAGATCATTGTGCACAGTAACAGCAATGTTATAATGATGATCAACTTGCTTTTTGTGTGTGATATGGCTAAGATGGAAATGTTTTTCATGATTTCATGTGTAAAATTGATATCATTTGCTTGCCTTCTGGGTAGGGGAGGAGTGGGAGGGAGGGAGAGAATTTGGAACTCAAAATTTAAAAAGAGAAGAATGTTAAAAATAAATAAATAATAGATTTGTTTAAAAAAAAAAATTCCAGCTTAACTGGAATCTCTGGCTGTTTCCTGAGCTCAGCATTCCACCTCTATCTGTGTAGCTCCACAGCAGCTATCTCCCATGCTTTAAATGTATTTCCTCCTTATTTCTGCCTTGCAGAATCTTCATCTTCTTTCAAAGCTTAGTCCAGATCTTATATACCCTGTGAGGACTTCTGTGACTTGCCCCCACTGGACCCCCCCTTTCAACTGTGACTACTCTTTTCCCTCATGGCAATCAGTGTTCACTTATCTGCATGCACACTGCATACCAAGTCCCTTTATGAAGCCAGAGACCATTTGACTTTTGCTTTGTACTCCAGGATCTATCAGAGGTGCCTCTGATAGAAGCCCTTAAAAAGAGGATTTTGCTGAACAGGGTTGAATTGTTTTAACAGAGGGCCATCTGGGGTTAGAACATAGGAACTTGGAGGAACTTTAGAACCTTAGAAATCATCCTGGCAACTAAGTGCCAAGGGACTTCTTTGTCCCTCCCCCTCAACCCTGTAGGGAAGTTCTTTCATATGCATTATGTTGCTTCATATGTATTAGTCTTTCCTCAGCTAGACTGAAAGTTCCCTGAAGGCAAGAATATTTTCCCTCCTCTCATATCTATCACAACACTTGGCATAATACTGTGTATGTAGCCAGTACTTGGTGGAAGTGAAATGTCTGCCTGAGCTAAAGTATCTCTCTTCCTTCTTCTGGGAGGTAGGACTTACCTATTTGTCTGGCAGACCCCATGATAAGCTTCAATGGCATCTTCCTGGTCCACATGCTTTTCACTGTTGGGCCAACTGGTCCGGGCATTAATGTTCGGCTCCTGGAGAGAAATGTGACAGATCCAGACAAATGAAGACAACCCTGCTTATACAAACACCTGTCAATGGGGCGTCATCTCTACATATAGATGTATGGTTAAGTGCACACATCAGAAAAGTATGAGAGTTTGTATTTTAAATAAGAAAATGCCCTCTAGAAACAGAGCTGAGTGCACTTCATTGGGGGGAGGGGTCAAGTACAGAAAGACTTTCCTGGTATGCTGCTTTGAAGGGTCACATTCATTCTATGGAATAAAATAAATAAAACCTCTTCCCCCCACTCAGAGAAGGAGATGAGAGGGTTGGGCATGGCTGTGCTAAGTCCCTGGATCCATTAGAGAGATTCCCTTCCCTGCCTCTCCCCAAGTCCTTTTTGATGTGAAGTATCCTAAGGAAATATTTAGGGTCTCCCTGCAAAGCAGAACTTTAACTCGGGTGCTTAAGAAACGGGAAAACCAGGGCCATGACTGCTCCTGCCTTCACACCCATTTCCTCCCTTCTCCTAGTTTCCTTTTGCTTAACAGATGCCAAGGCACAGAGCTAGTTGTACAACGCCCCCCCCCACCTCCCCCCATCTCTCCTTCCATTAGTTCTTGCTCAGTTCCATTCCTTCCCCTGACTGTTGAGTATCAGAAGCTGGATTAGATCCCCCATGCCAAGGAGTGGCAACCTCTCACTGTGCCAAGATACAGGTCAGGCAGCAGGCATCCAGAGTTTTTAAATAAAGTTGAAATTTTTTAATTTAAATTTTTGAAAGATAAAAGTAGAATCCAAGCAAGAAAAGAAAACGATGATTAGTTGGGTTTCTTGGACATACAGCCATTTCTCTTTGGGCTTAGTTGGAGCTAAACAGGGTCCATATACCCTGTATGATCCCAGCTGCCACAGTTCAATAGTGAGTTACTTGAAATCATCCCTCTAGAACCCTTAGGGTCACCAGATCTTTCAGGCAGGATCCCAAAGCCAGAGATGGCTCAGTCTCTGAAATCAAGGCTCCTTTCCTTCAGTCTCAGGTATTGCGGGCCACAGCTGTGGCTCAATGGGAAGGGAAAGCCTGTGGGGAGGAAGCCCAACCCTATCCATCCTCCAGTCCTTTGGCTGCCACCCCAGGCTGTAGGCCTCACCGTGCTCCTGCCGCCGTGCTTCCGCTGGTCGGCGCTCACGATTTGGGCCCTGAGGATGAGCACCTCCTCCTTGCGGACCTCCAGCTCCTCGTTGGCTGACTTGAGCTGGTTCAGCAGGAGGGCGTAGCTGTCGTGCACCTCGTGGTCCGAGCCGTTCTGCGCGGCCTGGTCGGCCACTGCCTTTCTCAGCTCGTTCAGCTCATTTTTCAGCTTTTTGTTCTCTGACTCCAGCTCTTGTCTCTGGAAAAAACCAAGGTCCCCCGTTATCTCTTAGATGAGGGTCACCCTAGAAAAGCGTTTCCCACTCGTGAGCATCCAACTGCACTTCCGCATGAAGCCACTCTCACCACTAGGCCGGCTCTGCTCGGGGCCCAGCCTGTGCACAGGCACACTTGCGAGACTGTGTGCGAGGATGCTCTAATACGAATAGCGCTTTAAAGTGTGCAAAATACTTCTCCTGTTTTATCTCGTTTGATCCTCACAACAACCCTGAGGGGGAGGTGCTATTTTTCTCATCCCCATTTTACAGGTGAGGAAAGTGAGGCTGAGGCGTGAAGTGACTTGTCCAGAATCACACAAGTGATCATGTAAATGCCTGAGGACGGTTTGAACTCAAATCTTCCTGATTCCAAGCCCGGCACTCCAGGCACTGAACCACCCAGCTGCCTTAACAATTACTGATGATTCTAGGAAGTCCACGAGGAGTCTTCTTGCCAGGCACAGCAAAGCCGGATTTACGTCCACACAACGACTCTATGTGTCTCTCCCACTTAGGGTAGTAAAGTAGATAGAATGCTGGACTATGGGAGAATGTGAGCTCCTAGAAAATGGGGTTTTTCTTTTCGTTTTTGTCTTTTCATCCCCAGTGCCTAGAACTTGGGGGTCACTTAATAAATGTTTGCTGAACAGCTGAGTCAGGAGCCCAAGCTTCTTGTCTCAGCTGGGCTGTACAGCTATGAAGGAGCTGAGTGACTCTGCCTCAGTCTGGGTTTCTGTTGTCTCATTTTTATAGATGAGGGTGATCTCTAATGTCCCTTCTGTTTTCAACACTGCTACAATGGATGGAGAGGAGCTAGGAGCCGGGAAGACCCGGGTTCAAGTCTAGCCTTAGACAATGCTGGCTGTGTGACCCTGGTCAAGTCACTGAAACTTCCCAGCACTCTTGGCCAAAGGTTTCAAATATGAGGCCCTACGTATCACTGCCAGCATGCTGCAGAACCAGATTAAAGTGTAAATGGGAAATATTCAACAAAATAAATAAAAATACAATAGAACATGGATAATGTTAATATAGGCACTAGGTGGAGCCATAGTGCACAGAGTGATAGGCCTGGGGCCTGGAAGTTTCATCCTCCTGAGTTCAAACCTGGCCTCAGACACTTCCTAGCTGTGTGACCCTGGGCAAGTCCCTTAACCTCAGTTTCCTCATCTGTAAAATAAACTGGAGAAGGAAATAGTAAACCGCTCCAGTATCTTTGCCAAGAAAACCCCAAATAGGGTCACAAAGAGTTGTACGACTGAAAAACGACTGAACAACAACAATAAAATGTAAATATATAGCAAACAGGGATCCTTATGTGGGTTTCCTATTTCTATTTGAGTTTGACACCTCTGCTCTAGGCCACTCTGTAAAGCTGCAACTTGCCCTGGTGGATAGAACTTCCACCTCTAGGAGGTCCTTCTTCCAAGGAAATAATAAATCAAATACCTATACTAGTCCCTATTTGCCAAAAGCTAGGCTTAGTGAGAGGCAAGACATAGTTTAAAAAAAATTAAAAATCACTAGTTCTAGTCTGGGCATTTCTACTTTTTTTTTCTAAGCCCTAGCCAAGAAGCCTCCTTCTCTCTGAGCCTGTTTCCCCATACATAAAATGAGGGTGTGCTTAGACTAATATTCTCCAAGTCCACGGGGGCTGCAGAATGGGTGTCAGTGCTAACTCTAAACTCCAGGTGTCCCCACTCACCAATGATATCACCCAACACAGAGCAGTGGGAAGACTCAGGCAGAAACACAAGGTAATGTCCATTCATTCCTGCTTTTTCCAATCACATTGTGTATGAACACCCTCTATAGACCTCGTACCTTCTCCTCCCCCCCAGATGTCCAGGCCATCTTTCCTCATTTCTCCATCATAGACCTCTTTATCTCCTGGTCAAACATTGCCCAAAAGAAACACATTGCAACATACCGTAAAGATTTTCATGATGCACCTACATGTTATGTCACCCTGGGGGAGGGGGATTATGGGATAGGGGAGACCACATTTAATCTATGAAATCTCCCAGTCTGGGACAATGGAGTTTTTCCAAATACCCAGAATGATGCACTCATTTATTTTAATGAGCTCAGTGGTATGACTGGTAGTCAAGGGGCTTGATGACCCCATATACATTTTTTTTCCTATAAAATAGATTTTCTACAAAACTGCAGGCTGTTCTTGTCAAAGATTAGGGAGAGATATGAAGGGGTCCCTGGTTCAAGAGCTTCCCCTATAATTCATCTCAGAAGGGATGTTGCCTTGATTAAATACTGGTAGTGAAGATGGGTCTGGAAGGAGGTATGAATGTGTCTGAGGGTCAGAAATTAGTCTTGTCAAAAATCAAGAGAGTTCTAGGCTAAAGACTGTGAGATGGCCTGTGGCTGTAGAATGCAACAGCCAGGAAGATGGTCTCTTATCATTAACACTCAGCAACTACAGACATCAAAGAATATGCCAGGGTCTTGGTAAAATTATGGTTCCTATGTTCCTCTTCCTAAAGACTTTATCTGATTCTGTCCTAGACTGAGAAGGGCATGTATCTGAACCAGAACTGTAATCAGGAATTTTTGTGCTAAAGGAAGCAGCACAAAGCTCACCCTCATTTGGGCAGAGACATGGGGAAGAGTTGGGCCATTTCTCTACTGAGGGAAACAAAGACCCTGGAACATTGTTATACAATGTGGGCTAGAAGGAGACCACAACATTGGCTTTCAGAAAACAGGACAGGAGCTCATGTGAGCCCACTACCTGGTAGTTTCCTATTTTAACTAATTATTTTTTTGCTGACTAGGTAGTAAGCAAGTGCTATCAGTGCCCAAGGACAAAGTCCCGGTTGCCCTGTCCTAGTTATTGTTCAGATATGACCCGAAGAAGGATCTAGGGCAGAATCTGCTCTGGTCCAGAGAGCAGTTCCTGTCAATCAAGGGCTCAGGTCCATTTCATATTGGGTTTAGAGAGATCTGTGTAGCCAGTCTACATATCTCAGACTTACTACATTGGGCATAATTGTTTCCTCACTTTTTACCATAACACACCCTTAGAAATGGCATCATAAGCTGTATCACATTTTCCCACAGAAATAACTCTATGATCAGGGGTTGTTTTTCCTGAAGCCTTGGCAATAAATCACAGATATGACTAACAAAATGCCATAAAAACAAAGATATAATAACCTTCAATTTATATAATAATTTAAAATGGTAAAATCATGCTTCCTATCCTACCAAATGGGCATCACTGTGCTGGCACTGTGATTATACAGGGAACCCCAAAGCACTCGGCACAAAGTGTACAATCAGCGCATAAACCATGCAACTCCAGCACAAATTTGATCTAAAACTAATGTGCTTATTAGAGCAAACAATTTCATATTTAATCAACAATGACTACCTTGAATATAGAAGGGGTAGGGGGAGGTACGGTGATGGGGAAGGTCTGATTTTTGTTTTGTTTTTTTCAAAGATCTGTTTGAAACTTTTTTCTCTTGTTTCTCTTGAAACAGTTTCCCTGAAGTGAGGTAACAGCATCCCAAATTCTTCCACTGACCTCAGAGCTGTGTCCCAGCACTCAAGTTGACCTATTTGGCATTTGTTGACAGATATCAGAGCTTTTCACACTTCATTTGGAAAGGCATACACACAATTACCGGGTCATTAGCATGGATGTCAAAAAAAGGTCCTTCAAATTCTCCCTCACCAAATTGTTAAGACAGGCTTAAGAGAGAATCCTGATTGAGCATCTGCTGCTGCCCTTGTAAACCATATTCTAACAATGGCAGAAACTGAGGGACAATGAAGGATGGCCTGAATTACTGTAATGTCAGTATGGGAAGGGGAGAGATCAATCTGACTCCCTAGATAAGATCAGAGCTGGCTTTATACGTAGGCACAATAGAACTAGGTGGCAGTTGGAGGGCATCCAGGAAGGCTCCCCTCCCCTTAAATCTCCCTTCTAACTTTAGCCTGTCACACTGATTACCGTTAATGATTCATTCTGTTCATTAAGGCAGCTAAGTGGCAAGGTAAATATAGCACTGGGCTTGAAATCAGGAAGATTTAAGTTCAAATCCTGACTCAGACACTTCCTAGCTGTATGACCCTGGACCAATCATTTGCCATTCCTCAGTCTGTTTCCTCATCTATGAAATGGGTTTAATAGTACGTATCTCATAGGGCTGATGTGAGATCAAATGAGATAACATATGTGAAGCACTTTGTAAACCTTAAAGTGCCATATAAATGCTAGCTATTATTATTATTATTATTATTACTAATCATAATTATTATTGCATTATTCTTTACCTTCAGAAATAGTTTTGGGATGGGTAACATACATGGCACTGATTCCTAAAATAGTTTGTACTTCTCTTATGGAGTTTACTAATTTTATCTTACATTACAAATATCTGATTACACGTTTTATGGACTCTATTGGTAGACTGTAAGTTCTTTGAGGTCAGGGATTGTATGTTTGTTATTCAGCACTGCCTCATCCCAGGCACAAAGCTTTACATATTACAGGCATCCAAATGTTGGTTCCTTGTAAAACCATAACCCAAGAGCGATTCCTTTCCCCTTGCCATCTGACTGATGTCATCAACCAGATCTGTCAGGAAATAATAACGGTAACAAAAACAATAATAACAAAGATACAGTCCTCCCTCAGAAGGTGATATCACACACATATAAATGCATCCACATACATATATGATGAATACTAGACAGCCCTCCAGGCTAGTGTGCTGACATCAGTAAAAAGCCAAATCAACAAGTAGTAGTAATAAAGATAACAGTTATAATAACAGCTCACTATCATATACAACTTTAAAACTTAGAAAATTCTTTCTTTCCAACAGCTCTCCAAAGCAGGCAGAGCTAGCATTAAGTGCCTAAAATGTTTGTTCAGCATGGGCTGTACCATAAGTAATCAGTCCTTCCCTTAAGTCTTTCTGAAGTTTCCTAATGTTTCCAGATGACCCAGGATTCTCAAGAGAGATGTCAATGAATAAGGGTTGTTTTTTTGGGGGGGGGAGTGGGGGGAGTAATGGCAAATCATAAAGATAATCTACCAAGGCAAAGAGAGGTTGAGATGTGTGGAGGGAGAGAATACCCACATCATGGGTCTTTTGAATGCATGGGTCTTTTGATGTCTCAAAGCTGGTAATTGGTTCTAGAACCAGATCTGAGTCCTAGGGACTAGGGAAGCATCCCCAGGTCTAGCCTTGGTCCAACCATGGGATTTTCCCCAGATGATTGGCCTCATTGATAGTCTTTTCACAGAACAGGATTCCTAGGTATCTAAGGAGGAATCTGAAGGACAGTAGGATAGGCTGAGATCCTAGACCCCTCCACATTTCCCTTCTAGCTCTGGCTTACAGCAGGGAGGGCAGGATAAAGGCATAAAGACAGTACTGATCTCATCCTGGGTCTTAGTATACTGTCTGATTTCTTGAACTCTGGTCCCAAGCAAATGTATGTAATATTTTTGAATAGCCCCTGAATTGCAGATGACCCATTGCCCCCACCTGTCCAAAATCTGCTTATTTTGCTGTTAACTTCAGCTGGTCTTTTCTGTGCCCCAGTGTTTAAGCTATCTCCCTTTCCTCCTCTCAGACTTGTTAATGCTGCAAAGGAGGGTGAAGCTAGGAAGGATGGTTAAGTAGCTGTTTGCATGGAAGGCTTTGTGACCTTTTTTTTTTCTTTTTGGCTACTGTTTTATGTCCATAAGTCTTTTCTCCTCAACTAGATTATAAGATCTTTAAGGGCAGGGACCATCATCCTTCTTTTATCTCTTGCAATAACTCATGAGGGCTGGGCACATGGTAGGGAGGCAACATGGAGCAGTGGAAAGAACACTGGCTTTGGAATCAGCATGACCACTACTCTTCATGGTTTTGATATCTACTATGTGACCACAGGCAAGTCATTGATCTCTCTGAGCCTCAGTTTATTCTCTTGTCAAGTAGAGATAATAATACTCACACTACCTGTCTACTCCACAGGCTTATTATGTGGCAAGTATCTGGTCAACCTTAAATCTCACCTCCTTACCACCAGCTCTAAACCATGCTGCCTCCACTTTGGCCATCGTCTTTCCTCCTCCCCAGCAGAAACTTGAATTTCATGCTGGGACTCACCCTGGGCCCTGAAAGGGGAGCTTTTCACCTTATCTTGCCCTAAACAAAGCCCTCACCTTACTTCCAGGCTACCAGCTCCAAACCATGCTGTGAACACTGACCTTGGTCAGAGGAGCAGTAGCATGGCCAGTTGGGGAACAATGGTGGTGTTGCTCTAACTTGGCCTTACACACCATGGATGGCAGCAATATCTGTGTACCAAGTTCAGTGGTAGGGTAAGACCCCTGAAACAGCTGTAATGGGGGGAATGCAATTCTCCATGTAAAAGAGGGTGGGAACATGCTTCTAGAAAGGCATTATGATGTGTAATGGAAGTGCCTTGCTCCCTGATTTGGAGCATGTATAGACATTCTGTAACTGGTTTCAGTTTGATAGCCATGCAGTTAGAGGAGTCTCTTTGATTGGCTATGATGTCAGAACTGGTGGGCATTCAAAAAGCACTAGTCAGTCAGAGCCTGACCCTTTTTTGATCTTTTTTTATCTTCCTGGGGTTGGGGGAAATGTTTGTATTTCTGTTCTTGCTATTGTTTTTGAAGTAAACATATCTTTGAAAAATCAGCTAATGTCAGTTGGTTAAATGACCCTGTGATGGTAACACACTAGAATGAGGGCACAAGCTGAGAGCATTAAAAAAGACACCTCATTCCTTGAGGGGCTCCCCTAGAACCCTGGAGGGGAGATGTAGCTGACTTCCCTCCAGAAAAGGGAGTCTGGGGCCTCGCTCCACACAGAAAGGAGCTTTATCCTAATGTGTTCTTCTCACTGGCGAAGGCAGACTGTTGGGAGAAGAAGGGAAGGAGGAGAGTTCATTTTAACAGACAGAGCTTGGAATAAATGATGAGCTAGCAAGATGGTGCTGCTGTTGGTCCCAAAAGGAGGGGCAGGATGGATGACTTAATAATGCTAATTGTTTTCCACATTCTCTGATTCTCCTGCCATGATCAAGGCTCCTCTGGGGAATGCTTATTGAAGGCGAGCAAGTTTGGATTTCATAGGCATTCATCAAGTGTAAAGACTTACTAACTCTACTGAGACTTTTAAATCTCTCAGAAATCACACAGGAAAAGAAAGCCCAACCAATAATTCAAAGGAAAAACCCTACTGAGAAGTCTCATACCATGCTAGCTAGTGTAATGGCTGTCATACCACCCGGCATTAGACGACTGGGTGCAACAGGCTGGGTCCATTCCCAAGCTGCCTGACTACTAGGAGATGTCTTGAGTATTGTTCAGTGGCAGGATGTATGTGGGGCTTCTAGGAGTTGGGTTTTCATACAGGTCTGACTCCAGGCACAACTGCGTAATAGGCCAAGTCTGTCTTTGGCATCCCCTAGATCCCTTTTTTTCTAAACTCTATCCTTTCTGTGTCCTCCTTGCCCAAACCTGAGGTGTCCATATTGCCTGACTCCCTGCCCAACAGTGGTTCCTAACTCAGACCCGACCATCTTATAGAATTATTATAAACTTTAACTCTCCCACTCACCAGCTCCATGACCTTCGGCAAGTCACTTAAGTTCTTGATTCAATTTGAACATTCAATGAGTGTTTATATGCAAAATGAGAATAATACTAAATAGTACCTACCCCACAGAATTATGGGAAAAGCATATTTCAAGCCTCGCGGTGCTATGAAAATGTGAGTTATTACTATTTGATTCATCTCAGCTCTGCCTCTCATAGTGCTAGGAATCAGCCTGTATTATTAGGACTTCTATACTTCTATACCTGACAGTGATGTGTGCATATGTATATATATATATATATATATATATATATATGTGTGTGTGTGTGTGTGTGTGTGTGTGTGTGTGTGTGTGTATATGTATATATACGTATATGTATATGTATATGTATACATATATATGTATGTATNTGTGTGTGTGTGTGTGTGTGTGTGTGTGTGTGTATATATGTATATATACGTATATGTATATGTATACATATATATGTATGTATATGTGTATAGATGTGTATGTCTGTGTGCATATGTTTAGGTAAACATACAACACACACACATGCACATCCATGTGTACCTAGGTCTATCTACATATATAGTCACATATACTTATATATCATTTTCATGCACACACATGCAACATAGGTATACACACATATAGATACATATGTATACACCTTAGCCTGTGTTATCAGGACTTCTCTACATCACACTGATACATGTATAATAATATGTACATATCCATGTATATATATTTCTTTATATGTATCTATATACATGTTTATCTATATTTCTGTGTGTGTGTGTATATATATATATATATATATATATATACACATGCACACATATGTATACCTGTATATCTAGGTGTGTTTATATACATATATATGGATAGATATTTGTACAGACACACACACATACACATACATACACACATACACTGTCACAGGTTTGGCTTTTTCAAAGAGGTTCTACAGCTGTCCTTCATTTTCATGAAAACCCCATAAGGTAAGCAAGACAGATATTCTTGTAATTTATAACAAAACTCATTAAAATATTTTTCTTAATTTTAGACTTCAGTGTTTCCTTCAAATGAACTGAACTTATTAAAAACCTTCTATGTGTAAGGTGAAGATGAGAGAACAAAATTCTGCCAGGGTAAACGGATTTGCTCAAAGGCACACATAGTGAAGCCCGGAGCAGACCTGGGATATGGCCGTGGGTCTCCTGACTCCCAACACTGGTCTCCTCCAACTGATCACATCAGCCTGGGGAGGTAAAAGACGCTCCTTTATATATACGCTCATCAAATGATGAAATTGAGGCTAAGAAGTTAAGTGACTTGCCCAAGGTCATACAGCTGATAATTATTACTGAATCAACCTTACCTTCAGACTGTTGTAGGCCAGATCTGTATCTTGGTCTGCATCTATTTCATTCTTTGTTTCAACCACCTGCAGAGATGAAGACAGACAGATAAGTGACACAGAGCTATAAATAGCAAGCTGCCAGAGGATGGTGGATCAATACCTTGCCTTGAACTACACCGATCCTTTGTTGGTGCAGTTCTAGAAACCAGAGGCCTGAGATGCAATGCCAGCCCTGACACTCTTTAGCTGTGTGACCCAGGATCAGTCTCTTAGCCTTTCTATAGGTTAGTTTCATCATCTACAAAATGGAGATACCACTCATAATGCCTACTGTACCTCATAGGATTGCTGTTAAAGATAAAAAAAGTTCTGTAAACCTTCAGATGCTATATAAATGTATTATGATTTATGGCTCTGCATACCTGCCTTACCCTCTGCACACTATTCTCTCTACTGCATTACTGTCCTCACCAGTTCAAAATTCACTTTTTTCATTAAGCTTTCTATGACTGAGGAGACTTAAGGTTAAAAAGAAGAGAGTGATTTGCCAGAGTCACTCAGCCAGGCAGTGGCAAACCCAATCCTTCTGTTTCCAAGTCAGAACTCCCTTTTCTACCTTACTATGCTCTTCTGGGTAATATTCCCTAGTACAGGGGAAAAGAAGGGAAGAAGTATTTATATAACCCCTACCATGTGCCAGACTGTGCTAATCATTTTACAATTAGTATCTCATTTGAGCCTCACAACAACCCTGGGAGGTGGGTGCTGTTGTTATCCTCATTTCACAGATGAGGAAACTGAGGCAGACAGTGGGTGAAATCTCTTGCCCACAGCCACACTGCTAGAAAGTGTCTGAGGTTGGATTCGATCTCCAGTCTTCCTGACTCCAGGCCACCCAGTTATAGAAACATCTATAGAAACATTAGCTCCATGATCCTAATCTCCACAAACTAAGCCACAGAAGTATCACACAAATCTCCCTCAATGTAAATGAACTTGATCATTGGCAGCTCAAATTCATTATAGTCCTGGCTAGCATCATGGTGCTAGGGTCATTGCCCTGGCAACATGACAGATCAAACAAATATTGATTTTACATCCCATTGATTTCAGTGCCATCTCTCATTTACAGAAGCGTCTTTCTTCATGGTTGACAGTTGTGCCATAGATCCCTACCCAGGAAAAATAATTCGGGGGAGCTCGTTTCTCAAAATTTTCTTGAGCAAGGCAGGTGAGGTAGTATGTGTATGTGACCCTAGTTACTAAGGAGGCTGAGGCTGGTGGACCTCTTGAGCTGAAGATTTCCACGCTGCAGTGGGCTAAGCTCATGGGGTGCCCACACTAAGTTTGACATTAATATAATAAGCCTATGTGAGCAAGGGCCCACCTGTTTGCCTGAGGAGAGAACCAGCTATGATTGGAAATGGAGTAGGTCACAACTCGTGGGCATATCCAAGTGGGACCAGGCCCTTGAGTAGCTCTTGTACTTTCAATCTGGGCAAAATAGGAAGAACTACTCTAAACAAAATAAATAAATAAAAATTCTAGAGCACACGGGATCTCTTTTGTCCCTAACACACTCCATCTTGTAGCGTACATGTGACCATATCATAGTCTACAAATCCCTACCCTCTCCCAGAATGGAACCTTCCCAAGAACTGGAACTGGGGCAAGGGGGACTTTTTACCCTACACTTTAGTTTTTTATTAGCAATTTCATTAGCGTAAGACATTTTGGGCAAGGTGCTCCCTCTACCAATGCAAGTGTGATCTTACTCTTCAACTTATAATCTTAGAAAGTTGCTTGGGGCAGGTCTCAAGAGCCAAAATGAGCAGGGTCACACAATCGTATGTGTCACAGGCAGGACATGAACCCAGGTCTCCCAGATCCCAAAGCTGGCCTGATCCTTACGCACTGTGCCACATTCCCTCCTTGCTAAACTGGATTCAGTGACCCTGGGTCTTGGTGTTTTTACCAAGGAAAGCCTCAGTAACTGCCTGACCTCCATTCTGGGCCTTATGGAGTAGATTCTGGCTGGCTGGGGGTGGGGTTTCGGGATGTCATAACTGGGTTCTGTTGGCTTTCTCTCCTATTATTCTCTCGTTTCTCTCGGTTAGGAGCCAGTGATTTATTTAGGAGGGATCCCAAGTTTCTCACTTGGGACCAGAAGTTGACCCAGTTAGTACCCAGAATAGCTATCCAGAGGATGGGCTTTCTGGATCATTTGGAACTGCTAGACTGAGGGCATGGGAAATGGAGGGATAAAATACAAGCAATTTTTGGATTCAGAAGGAAGCAGGGGCAAAATTTTTATTCCTTCTTTCTTTTCTTTCTCTTTCTTTTTCTTTTTTTTTGGCACCTTCTGATCCAGTCCATTTGGCTTTCTATACATTTGATTACTGCCTGTCATGGCAGCTTCTTTCCTAATGTAATGTGTCACTTATAAACCTAATCCTTTCACCCTCCATTCTGAGTCTAATCTACCAGAGAGATTTAAATCCATCAGCACGACTCAGAGCCCAGCTTACTGCAGGGGATGGGGATGACTTGGGAGGGTTTCAGAGGAAGGAGTAAGCACAGTCATACAGAACGAAAGGTTGTGCAAGCTTCTTGAATTTGCACAGGGTAAACACAGTGTGTGCCATGTATGTATGATCTCACAGTGGAGCACATGGCTCCTTAAGGCTGGGGTGAAGGTTAATAACACCTAGGTTTGTAATACTGCTTTATGTATGGTGTGGGTAGCTAGGGGGCACAGCAAATAGAGTGCTGGGCCTGGAGTGAGGAAGAACTGGGCTCAAATCCAGCCTGACAGTTACTAGCTGTGTGACCTTGGGCAAGTCACTTAACTCCATTTGTCTCAGTTTCCTCATCTATAAAATGAGCTGGAGAACGAAAAGGCAAACCACTCTAGTATCTTTGCCAAGAAAACCCCAAATGGGGTCACGAAGAGTCAGACATGTCTGAAGTGACTGAACAACACGTATGGTTCCAGAAAGCCAATGACCCTTCATAGAATACTAAGATTTAAAGCCAAGAGGACTCCAAATAAAAAACAGGGCTTATTTTAATTCAACCCTCACATTTTACAGAGGAGGAAACTAAGGCACAGAGAAAGAAAAAGACTTCCTTAAGATCACGGAGGGAATAAGTAGCAGACCCAAGATTCTGACTCCAACTCTACATTCTTTATCCATCCCCATGTTAAATGTCAATCTTGCATAGGTTTTAAGTAGGCCAAGAATTTTTAGCTTCCTCTAACTTAAAATAAAATTTTAAAATGAAGAAGTTCATGTGGAATTACAGTAGACCCCTTACAACATTCATTGATTCTTTCTCAGAACTCCTTTAATAACTACAGTTTGGGCCTCAATATTTAACCCTTGGTTCTATACTGTATTGTATTTGTTTTTGTATTAGTAATAACTCACCTTGATATAGTGCTTCACAGTAACAGAATGCTTCCTGAACATTCTTTCATTTAATCCTAACAAGACCCCCATGAGGTAAAGCAATAGAAATATCATGATTCTTGTATTACTGATGAGGAATATGAGGCTTCAGAAAAGAAATGACCTGCCAAAGGTCACACAGATAGTACACAGAGCTAAGACTCGGACCTCTGACCTCAAACCCAATGTTCATTGCATGACATCACATTATCCCTTGATCCTGCCCTTCCTATGCCATCTTGTTAGCTTGTATTTTTTTCAACCAGGCTATAAACCATATCTTCTGTCCCCCTTAGAAACACTCAGAGTCATGCGCAGAGTAGGTGCACAGTCTATCTCACAGTAGAGAAGGAACAGAAGAAGAAGGTGCAGGAAACTATATTATTCATCTTGCTGTTGTTTGTCCTTCATTCTTGAAGAGGACTACGACATCAGGGAGGTGATGCCATGCCATGGAAGTGAATTGGAGGTGAGTGAGGGAGGGGTGTGCAAAGTCACCAGCCTCACTTTCTCCTCCAGAGCCAGCTGGGTCCAGCGGCCAGATATAGATCAGGACAACTGAAGACGGTCCAGGATCCAGTGATTTTTCAAGCTAAGGTCTTTAACAGGTCTCAGTTTGACTGAGGCAACGCCCATTCAGTGATTAAGGCTTAAGGGGTAAAAACCACCATCAAAAACCTATTTCTTACCAATTAAAGCTGTTTAACTTAGGAATACTTGGGCAAGGTCCTACTCTGCTATTCCAACAAGGAGGGCATGGGGAATGCATTTAATAGAATCCAGGCATTGTTGTTATTCAGTCTTTTCAGTCATATCCAACTCTTCGTGACCCCATTTGGGGTTTTCTTTGCAAAGATACTGGGGTGGTTTTGCCATTTCTTTCTCCAGTTCATTTTACAAATGAGCAACTAAGGCAAACAGGGTTAAGTGACTTGCCCGGGGTCATACAGCTAGTAAATGTTTGTGGCTGGATTTGAACTCAGGTCTTTCTGAGTGCAGGCCCTACACTATCCATTGTGCCACCTAGTTGCCCAAATTCCAGTTTTACATGTTTTATTAGTTAGTATGCACATTGGATATTTATGACCAGATTAGCTCACACACCCTGAAGTCCATCATTACCTGACCACCCCAACAGCCAAACCTTCATATACCCAGGAGTAGTCTATGGAGGGTGAGGGAGGGCGATCAGTGTTTCTTCTAGCCCATGCCTTACACAGGGTCCCTAAGAACCTCATTGTACCTGAACTTTCTTGTTTTCTTGTTGCTCCTTTTCCAGCTGAGTTTGCAATTTCTTCCTTTCCTGCTCCAGCTCCCGAACTCTCTTCTGCAGCTTCAAGAAGACAGACATGTCCATAGCTGCCTTCTCCAGGCCCATTTCCTTCAGGGACAGGTAGAAAGAAAAGAAAGATGTTCCAGACAAGGCAAATACTTTAGGGAAACACCTCATTATCTACTTGTCTTTTGTCCCTACCCTTCTCCTTCACAAGCTAAATGAGTAGCTTGACTTTGACCCAAACACACGGGACCCTTCTACATCATGGACATTGATACTAATGGATTTTAAGTTTTTCCCCAAAAAAGTCTTATAATGCAAATCTCCCCGAAAACCTGCAGAGCATCTGAGTTTTAGACATAAACCATTCTCTTACAGAAATCCATTAAAAATGGCCAATCATGTAGTAAAAGTCAAATTGGATGAAAACAAAGCTCTTTGGGGGAGAGGGATGAAAAAGAATTCCTTAAAACACAAAAACAGAACAGTCCCATATAAGAGACACTAAAGAATGTGGATAATAAAACCTTCCTACTAACAATCTATGTGATCAGTAATCATTGCCAACATTGTAATCACACCATGATAGATTATACCCTGAGGCAATAGTAATACATCTGCTTCTATGTCTAACATGTTATGGAATAGTGGTTTCTCAAGAGATTTTTTTCCTTCAGGCTTTGTGTTTCTGTCCTACAGATTTTTAAATATATGTGCCTGGGAGGAGCTTCATCTAGGGGCTCTACTCCTGTGAAGAAGAGATCCACCATCCCCATCCTTACCACCACATCCTTACCACATCATCAATTGCTACCTTCAGAGTGGTAAGTCCAAGAACCCTGGGAACAGGAGTGCTTAACCACACCACTGGCCCTACTTCCAGCCTGGCCCCCATAGTCATCATCATAGGATACAACTCTTGTGAAGATGAGACCAGGCATTTTGGAGGGTCTTTCAGGAAGTGATCCTTGTATTCTTTCCAATTTCACATTGCCCACCTGTTCTAATATGTTTGGGCAATTTTCTTTAATGATCTATTAAAATAAGAGATCCAAGTTCTTTTTTTGGTCAGAGATTTAAGGTAATCAGGTAATTCTTAAATTACGATTCCTAAATTAACCCTCCTTAATACGTTTTTCAGGTCAGTTGTTTTTGATATGAGATATATTTTCCTGAGGTTTCTCATTTTGTTTTGTTTTGTTTTATTTTATTCATTCATTTATTTATTTATTTAATTTATTTTTTGCCTTTTTTTTGGGTTTTGTTTTGTTTTAAGAATTCTTGTTGTCTTCTGAAATCACTAGTTTTCATTTGGTGCATTCTGATTTTCAGGGAGTTTATTACTAGGGTGAGGTTTCATACTTCTATTAAGCTGTTAATCCTTTTTTTAAAATATTTCTTTCTTCCACAGCTCTTTCATTTCTTTTATTACATCTTTTAAAAATGTGCATAATTTCTTTGAAGAGTTTTAATTGTGTTTGCAGGAAATCTGTTTATTCTTTGATGTTTTGATACTAAGTGTTTTTTAATTATTCTCCTATTTCAGGTGTGTGTGTGTGCGTGCGTGTGTGTGTGTGTGTGTGTGTGTGTTGGTCATACCTGTCATTATAAAAGTCTTTTATTGTATTCCTTTGTTGTTTACTAATTTTTGCAGCTGAGGCCTCAGGAATTGAGTTCTAGGCCTCTCCTACTCTGGGGATCAAATCAAGTTGAAGACCTTTCCTTTACAGTGGTGGTCTTTCTGTAGTCCTCTCCCTTCACCGTGAACATCAAAGTTCTCCTCTCCTGTGATCAGCTTTAGTTCAGGCCCTTTCCTTCATATGAGAAGAGAGGAGAGGCTTTTTCTTTAATCTTCAGTGAAATCTGAATATGCTCTCCTCTTATGGGAGAGACCTAGTTGAAGTCTTTTCATTCAAGGAGATGAAAAGAGAGGTTAAGGGCCATTTTTTTACACAATTGAAAAAAAATCAATGGTCAGCCTGAATGGAATCTTTTCTTTCTTCACATGGAGGTGTTTGTTTTTTCCTTAGTGCATTGGGTTTTTCTTTTAACTAGGTGCTTAAGGCAGGCAGTTTCACTTTAGTCTCTTAGGGGGTTTCTTCCTTCTGAAGCAACTGCGGCTTTTAAGGGGAAGTCTTTCGACTTCATCCTGCAAGAGATTTTTGCCCACTGAGGTCTGAATCCTTTCTCCTTCATCCCTGAGGGGATCTAGATCATATTTACTGCCTGTCTAAGAGGTGGGTTGTTAGTAATTGAATTCATAGTGAGATAAAGCTGACCTGTACTGCTTCCAACTTGGTCTGGAAAAATCTTTGTTAGGAAAAATCTCTGGAAAGATCTTTGTTGAGATATAGATCTCATTTTTAAGACACAGTCTCGATTTTTCTATTTGTGTCCCTAGTGCTTGGAACATAGTAGATACTTAATAAATGTTTTTTCATTCATTCAACTGTGACTGTAACATTATGATCAGAGAATGTCAGAAGTGGAAAAGACCACAAGGGTCTTAGGTAGTAGGGGTACAAATTTTAAAATGAGGCAGTCTCTGTCCTCAAGGATTTTATATTGTATTGGGCAGATATAACACACACTGGACCTCAGTTTCCTCATCTGTAAAATGAGGATGTATGACCAGATGGCCTCTAAGGTCCCTTCCAGTTCTGACATTCTATGTTTCTTAATACAGACACTTACCTTGAGGGTAAGATTTATCCTTCAACTTCTCTGTTCACCACTAATCAAATTTTATATCCTAATAGGAGATATCATTGCTGCTTAAGGCTATTCAGGCAAGGTGCCTTACCATTTCTTTCTCTCCAACAAATTGTACACAGTGGCCTTGCGCCAGAAAGACTTACCTCCACCTGCTGGATTGCATCTTCAGTATCCCCGATCTCAGATGTGGAGACTGATGGGTAATTCGAGTCAGATTCTAAACTACTCTGGTTTGAAGGATTTCGCCTATGACCTGGGGTTTGCTGTTCAAAGAGACAATAGCCAAAATAATTTAACACATGACATCTCATAAAGGGACAGTGTTAAGCAGCATTATGAATTCTGGAGGACAAGCAGATCTTTTGTTTTTTTCTGTTGTGTTGTTGATCTCATTTTAAAAATTGGCATTTCTGACCTCTTAGAATGGTATTAATAGAGTCATCTTAAAAGAGCCATTTCATCCACATTTCCCATAGTCAACTAAATAATGACATCACAATCCAACAAACACATGTTTGCCCCCATTGGAAGGATGGGCAACTCTGTTGCTCAATGAAATGCAAATCCATAAGATTTAGGTTAATAATCTATATGAGAGGGCCTTGTGAAATGATCCCTGACTCCCCAGGCACAGAGTAAGCATCACTCCAAAGCTGCATGTCATTATTTGCCCTCTTAAGAGGATCTTGGAAAAAGAACCCTTAGATCTCTCCTCCCTACCCTCATTGCTATTACAGGAAAAATTTGAAAATTGGTGGATATTAAATATATAGTTTATTTAGAGTAACTTTTTTTTTTCTTTTTTAGCATCTGAATCAACTGAAAGAGTAAAAGATAGATTTGCTGGGGCAATTTTATAATTCCACATATGTTCCTACTCAATTTCTCTTCCTGCTTACTTAACCAATGTTGTATGGGTAAGATATCCTGCAGGAAAATGTTTACGTGAAGCAGAAAGAAAAACAATGAGTGAAGTTCTGAATCATCATGAAAACATGTCTATGTATGTGATGTTTCATCAGGTATTTGAGAAAACAATCCAAATGGAATAGTATTCAAAGCATGTCTGAGTAACTTTACACAAGGTACCACTGAAACCACATTAGGCCTTCTCAGCTTCATTCATATGTCAGCTTCAACTGAAGATGAAGCATGCTTCCCACCTCTTGGCATAGAGTTAGTGGGCTAGAGGAACAGAATGAGGCTTGCATTTCCAGACATGGCCAATATGTGGATTTGTTTTGCTTGAAGTTGGTGGGTGGTGAAATTGATGTGAGAGAAAGAAAGAAAAAGAAAGGAAGGAAGCAAAAAAGAGCAAAGATTAAAAATATATAGTAGATAGCAGAAAGAAGTTCAGAAATAGACACAGAGAAATTGTGTTGCTCTTGTATTAAATTTAATATACATTTAAAAACAAATTAAGTAGTAATAGAGATCCAAAGGTTTACTTATACAATGTTCTTTCTGTTCTTTACAAACTGAAGTTTCACATTTGTCAAGTTTGCGATTAAAAAAAAAAGAGAAATTTAATTTAAAATATTTATCAGCTTCAGATGGTGATGGAGGCACAAAAATTTCCCTAAACTGGGAAAACCCTAAAACTAACTAGAGCACTTGCTGGTTAGTTCCCCAACAACTTGCCACAGGATTCTTTACAAGACAGAGAAGTCACAGCTGGACAGTGCTCGACAGTAAGTTTTTTTTTTTTTTCATGAAAGATCTGATTGAGTCATTTTTATTTTATTTTATTATTTTTTTTTAGGCAATTGGGGTTAAGTAACTTGCCCAGGGTCACACAGCTAGTAAGTCTCAAGTGTTTGGTCTGAGGCCAGATTTGAACTCAGGTCCTCCTGACTTCAGGGCCAGTGCTCTATCCACTGCGCCACCTAGCTGCCCCGACAGTAAGTTTTTTTAACCAGATACTTGCTTACACTATACCTCCCCCTAGGAACGTCAAGCCCAGACTGTGTTTGGTCATGCCTTGTCAAGCTCCAGCGGACTAGATAAAATGAACAGCAAGGTCAAGAAGGGATTTGAGTAGACCAGAGGGAAGGAATTACTCTCATTACCCTTATGATGGTCATCTCATCCCGAAGGTTGTCATAGCTTTGCTCCAGTCGGGAATATTCCTTCACAAGGTTTTGGTATCGTGACCGTTCCTCCTCCAGCTCCTTCTTCATTAGCAGATTCTCCTTTACCGAATTTTGGGCAAATTCATCTGAAAGGAAGGCATATTAAGCCGCCATTTCTTCTGCCAAATGAGTTCCCCCAATGTTTATTGACACCAGTACATTGATTAGAGTAGACCCTTTGTCAAAAGCCTGCCTGTGACAAGGTTGGTGTACCTGCCTCTGATGAATTCATGACAACACTTCATTTAATACATAAGAGGGATGCCCATCACATCATGCAAAAGCCAGCAGAGAGGGGAAAAGTCTTGCCCAGAAAGAGTTGGAGGAGAGAGAAATGCCTAGCATCTGGATGGTCTTGGGACCGTGAAGTGGGCATTGAATTTCATGTTCTTTTCAGGCCTGGTAGGATTAGGGTTGATGGAAGAGTGAAAAAACTCAAAAAGGGTTAGAACATAAAGGCTCATGGGGATAGTTGGAGAGACTGAATTTCACTTTACCACAAACTCTTCTATTTCTATCAGTGAAGAGAAACAATAGAAAACAATTTTTTAAAAAATCTAGATAATCCAAAAGTTATTTAGAATTATAGGGTCAAAGATTTAGAGCTGGAAGGGACTTAAAGGTCATTTCAGTGGTGCCAAATTCAAACAGAAACAGATTCTCATAGCTGAAGAGAAAACCACAAATTTACACTATTTATGCTGTATCGTATTTTTATTTATTTTGCTGAACATTTCCCAATTACATTTTAATCTGATTCAGTTGGGAATTTTACAGGTGGTGAGTTTGATACTTCTGATCTAGTTCAACCCACTGATTATATAGTGGTACAGGGATCATGTGAACTTTTTAAAAATTGGTAACCATATTTCAATATAATTGGTTTCTTTTGTTAACCTATGTATTTTTTTTTTTTTTTTTAGTGAGGCAATTAGGGTTAAGTGACTTGCCCAGAGTCACACAGCTAGGAAGTGTTATATGTCTGAGGC